CTATATTAAACAACAACAATAGTTTCTTTATCCTTGGGCAATGATTACATTTGAGGCCACACACCCTTTTTGTTTTCAACTTTATTTTTCAATTTATTTATTTTATTTAACCATATGATGATATTTTCTGATAATTTCATTTCTTTTAAAGAAAAATATTATTATGTTTTATTAACAATTTAACAAACCTTTTTTATCATCAACGTTATCAACATTTTATTTAACTTAAAGTATTCACATTTTATACTTGTTTCATACATATATTACAGCGACAATTTCTAATATATTTTTCTAACACACAAGAGAGGTGTCATGTTTGTTTTTTTCGAATTGTTTCACGGTAATAACATAAACCTTACACTAACTTTCTATTTCTCATTGACACGGTACATATTTTAACTAACTAACAATTAAACTCATACATTGTATATTCACAAATTCACCATTTCTACTATTTCCAACCCATTTTAAACTACTAACCATTTTCAAACAATTAATCTCTTTTCTCACCTCTAACCAAATTAAAATTATAAATTGAATTTTTTCATACTAATGATATCTCATAAATATTTGTATAGAATATTTTTTGCAGGAAAAAAGGAAAAAGAGAAAACATCATTAGATTTGAAAATATGGACAACAGCAAGGCAATACCATTCCTGCGACTGCAGATTCAAACTCGGACCACCATCGCTCTCCATATGCAGCCATCATTTTGATTCTGTCGCCGAACACATGACTTACGAGCCACCACCCACTGACTCCCACTACGACGAAACCCACGAGTAACGCCACCATACTTTCAACCTGTTTCTTACCGCGTCAATGTCTTCGCCGCCAGAAGCATCAGATTGAATCGTGCCGTAACGCATATTTAAATTAACTACACACTTGATCTAATAAACTCTGTCATTCACACTCTTAGACTACGTATGCGCGAACTACGAAATGAGACTCTGATTCCCCCCCTAAGAGGATACGTAGGCATACGATCAAAAATCGTGGCGAGTCCCGCTAAATAAAGTTCAAACTCTTTTTCCTAATAATAATTAAAAACCCTATTTCCTAAGATCGCGCTTCTAAACCTAGTATCCTTGTGAACAAGGTAGATAAGGGGTGCCTAACACCTTCCCCTCATCTAGAACCGAGTCCAAATCTAGAATCTCTGACTTTTAGGATTATTCCTTTATACTCCCTTCCTTTAGGATAAAAATTAAGAGTGATGACTCTGATTTAAAAAGCAGTTGCAACAGAGTGTAAACTAGGGATTAAAGATAAGAGTAAGGGTATATTAGGAATAACCAAAGAGGATACTGAGTTTATAATGTAAAAAGAGAATAATTAAAAGGAGGAGTTTGACAGTACGTAGAAAAAAGATGTAAAGAGACAAAAGGAGAGAGAAAGCTAAGGCATATAAAAGCCCCCATTGGAGAAGATTGGAAGAAATTTCACGAGAAATCTAAGGTAAGAGGGGAGAATAACTTTTAATAAAAAAGGCTTATGCGTGAGGGGTAGGGTAGAGGAGTCCTTAACCTCCAATAGGGTTTTTTTATCCTTTGATTTTGATGGATAATGATGAATATATATAATGATGAATCTATTGTTATACATGTTCTAAATTGCAATGATGTGTTGTTGTTATGTGGTTGTGTTCTTGAGTCTTGATGTGAAATTGGGTGTGTCACTATATGGACTTAAGTGCTTAATTCATGAAAAGTTGATATGTTTATGCCCATTTGAAGAAGATGATTGTATTGGTGTTGTTAGAATGTCAATTGGTGTAATTTAGAATTTTACAATTGGATTAGATGAATTATGAAGTTATATTTTCAAAATAATCTATATGGACATGTTAGGGGATGTTTGAGATAGGTCTAAGTTGAAAAATATGAGCTTGGAAGTGAAATCCCCGTAAAGAAATCGCAGGAAAATGCGGGAGAGTATTGATCGACTTGTTTCGTGCATATCTTGAGCTCTGTAAGTTCATTTGAGGCCTCATTAGTTGCATTAGAAATATAATGCGATAATCTTTCCGTCTAAGTGGAGAAATTAGGTCTAGGAGTGTTACAACAGTAGCGGTTCCCTGGTTTTTATACCCAAAACGTTAGTAATTTCGATCATGTGTTGGTCAACTTGTTTCAAGTGTAAATGCAATTTCGTGAGTCCGTTTGGGGTGCGGTCCGTGGCATTGGAAAGAGGGTTTAATGATATTTTCAATTGGAATTTTCATAATTTTCTCATAAGTATAAAATTTTTGGCACCATTTTAAAGTTAAACGAAACATTTTATCGATGGGAGCACCCATTCTTGTTGTTTGGTTAAACTGAACCGATTGATGTATTAAGTCCAGAAATAAAAATCATATTCTTAAAATAGTCTCTCTAAGCTTTCTGGAACATATTCATTTGCTCGAGTACGACTTTGTTTGATATTTTAAATAATTATTTGAACATGATGTGTTGTCATGTTATTATATAAGTGAAATAATCATGAATCAATTGTTTTTATCTATGATGTTGAGTGCTAATCCTACTGATTATGCTATTGTGTGACTGTGAATAACTAATTATGATGTTGTGTTGAATTATGTAAATTGTGATATTAATGTGATGTTTTATGGTCACAAAACATGTTGATGAATTAAGTGATGTTGGATGTAATTATGTGTTAAATTGATATTATGTTTGTGATGTACATGTATGTTGCTTACGCGATTTTGTCAATGCATGTATGTTAGGATCACAAGAGGGGTCTTACCATATTGAATTAATATGTTCATGCATTCATATTGAGTTGTATCTAGAGGCATGTTTCCTAGTTTAGAGGAAGGGACTAGTGGCTTGTCCCAAGCTCAGAGAGGGGACCCGATTCTAGAGAGAACCAAATATTGAGTTTGTACCACATGCATCGAGTTGCATAGATTTGAATTTTTACTATGAGTTGAATAATGAGATAGATGCATATGATATTGATGTTGTGTGTAATTGGTGTGTGATTGGTATGTGAATGAGGTGTGATTGGTGAGTTGGTATGTGAACATATTTAATCTATTTTGATTGATGTTGTGTAAGAATATGCTATGTGTCGATATCATACCTTGCATTATATGCTCTTGATTATTGATTGTGATTTCTCACCTCTTCTGCTTAAATGTTGCCTTTACATGAGCATCATGAAAATACTCAAGGGTAGAGACGCTGTTGTGAGTGGAAGTTAGCTCCTGAAGCTATTTTGTTAGGTTCTTTGTTTAGTTTTGGTTATGCTCTGATATGTAACAATGTGGAGCGATTTTCTTTGTTTTATGTTGAGATTTCTGAGAGATCTTGTATAATCTCGTATTTTTATATTTGTTGTGATAAGCATTCAGAGAAGACTTGTGAGTCGATACTTTTAATTATTAAATGACGTTTTATTACGAGATTTAAATTGACATGTGTTTTAATTATATTCTGCTGCCATGATATCATATGAGTTGGATGTCGTGAAAACATCCTAGTACAGATCAGATGAATTGGTGTCGTGTAAATATCCTAAGTGAAATTGTGTGCATTAAAATATTGTGTTGCATGTTTATTTAGATTAAGTGTTACATGATCAACATGTGTGCGTGTTTGAGATGTATAACATCCTATGTGAAAAATTTGTGAAAAAACTTTGATTTAATTATAATTATTCGTTGAGGAAAATAGGATGTTACAGGTGATACCCCGCCTAACTAATCCAACTGATAACCTTACTAAACAAAACACAATGTTACGCCTGACACAATGTTCATTTGAAAATTCCACACTCCTCTAGAACAACATGATCAACTCTTCATCTTCTAGAAGCGTCCTCTCCTCCTCTTGGGAGTCTTCTCATGGCTTCAGGTCTACAACATTCACTTCTTGTGCATCTGACTGCTGGACGTGGGTGATGATTATAGTTGTCTGCTTCAACTTCTAAATATCTAAATAACATCTTTAGGAGGTCTCATGATCATCCTGGATATAACCCTAACACACTCATTAGGGTGTTCGGGGTGATGTAACCCTTTATATGTATTTGTTCTTCCGAGAATCCTACTAGTGAGTCTTGAAAAGTTTTAAAGTCAGCCAAACCTAAACGAAATCTCTAAAAAAAATACTAACAGAGGATGTCAGCCGAACTCCCTTAATCAATTATCACTTTCTTAATCACCCAATTATCACATCTCACGACTATGACCATGAGATTGTTATCGTGGAAAAACTTAATGTGAAATTAACCTGAATTTCCTTAAATAATTAAAGATACATGGGTGGGTTGTTTTATAGACCAAGTTGTTAGAATAGATTCATCAAAATGTAAACAAACTCAGTTAAAAGATATATTAAATCATGAACAAACTCAATCATGAAAAACACACTTAACTAACTTATAGGTTTAATAAATTGATTTTGATAAGCTATGCTAAGTTGTACCTAACTATGCTAACTTGTATTTAAGCTAACTACTCTCTAATATTTCTATTTTCATAAATGTTTATTGTCACAAAAAAACATCATATAATTCATGACAACACGCCATAATATTACTTCATTCTACTACTAATGTGTTTTGCCGACCAAATATCAATTTGACAAGTCAATTGAATTCATGAGGAAAACTTTCGTCATAAATAACATTGGTGACATGAAAATAATTTATCGATGTTTTTTTCACCTACCTTTTTATTGTTAATTAAATGAAATCAACACTCTACTATGATAGTACATACATAATAGAATAAAGAAAAAAGAAACAAATAAAACTATACTTTAAATAGTGCAAGATTGCACTTTGGTATTTTATTTATAATTTTTCAGAACCAAAGTATAAATAAGTGATATGTGCTTCATTTTTTTTTTGTTTGCTTAATATTTTGTAAGCAAGTGATATATAATTTATGAGAAAAGATACAAAACAACACTTGATTTGACATAAACAAAACCTAACACATAAATTTGTTCAAGACACACAACATGTTTCTCATCAATTCTTCAATTCTTGTTTGTAGAATTCCAAATCTCTTCCAATTCTCTAGCAAAATCTTTCTGTCTTCCAACAACAATAGTTATATGATCTTTATCATCAATGACCCTAAGTTCTGCACTTGGAATCATTTTCACTACATCATAGCTACACTCAATAGGTATAACCTCATCGTTTTTTCCATGAAATATAGTAACTTTGCAATTTGGATTTTCTTTCACTTTTTCCAAATATGTTCCAAGTTTTGCAGCTGTTCCACATATAATATTGTGTAGTGTATGCCAAGCTGCATTATGGGTGTGACTAAAGAATCCTTCAAGCAAGAAAGTCCTTACCCTATTCAAAGAAAATTATTTAATACCAAACTTTGGGTTAGTTAAAAACTTTACATCATATTACTAAAATTATAACATATATTTTTGAAATGAATCACATTTATGGCCAACAATTCTTGAATAAATTAAGGGTAAAAATTAATGCAACCATTAAATATATCTGACTTCATCTCCTATAGTCAGTTCCTGACACATTTGACTTATGCTCACAAAGTGAGAGGGTGCAAAAATATTTAATTTTTTGTCAGTAAATTAGAATAAATTTTATATATGTCATTTATAATATTGGTTCACCTAACTACACTATAGGAGTACTATTTTTAACAAGTATTTGAAATATAATTTACTACTATAGAAAACTAACATAAAGTTTAAAAGGGTGACATAAAAGAAAACCGAGGTGCCTCTTTCTTTAAAACGAACTTGAGAAAGACGTGACTTGTGAGTTGTGAATTGAAGATTAAAGTTTGAAAGCATCATTTTTTTATACATAAAAAAAAAATTCAGCCAATGCCATCTTGTGATTTATTGTGATGTGGAGTCTGTCACCAACTCAACTATTTTTGTGAGAGTTTTATATTTATTACCCTCCATCCGATTTTAATGTGAAAATTGAGTCAACAAATATAAAATTTCAATAGGGTTTGCATTAAATTATAAAAAAGTATAAAACCTATAAAAAAATAAAAGAAACATAAAAAAAAAAAGATGCGTCGTGAGCTTTACCTATTACGAGTGATGAGTCTGGTGAGAAATATCCACAAACGATGATTCTTACAAATGAGGAAACAAATCATCCTAGTTATATGTTCATACCAACACAGCAACGATGCACCAAACACCATCGGTGGCCACACGCGCCTAGGCGCAATTTGTCTCATCACATATTGTGTCGCTTGCGCTTCACCCTTAGGCACCGGGTAGTAAGGCTATAATATCACAACAATAAATAAAAAATTAACCTAAGATATAAAATAAATTGAACATTAAATAAATGTCAACATCAAAGGGAGGCAAATTAATTATTCTACTTACTGGGGCAAGCAAAGTTATGGACTTGACATAGTTAGGGTATTTAGCAGCAAGTGCTAGGGCTAAAATTGATCCCAAGGAATGGGCCACTATGTGGAAAGATTCAACTTTATGGGCCTCCAAAACAGATTTCTCTATCATATCTAAGTGCTCCCTTAATGTGTATAATGATTCACTTGGCTTAGGACTCTTCCCAAAACCTAGTAAATCAACTGCAAATAACCTATAGTTTGATCTTGCTTCACTTGAAAAATTTGGGAACAATGTTTCTGTCCAAAATAATGATGATGATATGAATCCATGTATAAACAACACATCTTCTCTCGTTTCACCTGATCACACAATAAGTCATTACGTTACATTGTTAAACGATTAGGGTTTAACACAATTCAAATTTTTATAATTTGATTATGGTGTTGCGGTCAAAAAACACAGATAGAATCTACCAGTTTTTCGACTGCAACACCTTTAATATAAAAATTCATGTACTATAAAACAATGTAAATGTAAGATTTTACCTGAAGTGGGAAATTGAGATTTAACATAGAGATTGGTTTGACTAGGTTGAATCCAAGAGCAACATTCTTTACAATCACAATCTGACCATCTAGGGATTTGATTATGAACATCATGTTTACCGATTTTACCTTGAAGCATTTCAACAATAGTAGTATTAACAGTAAAGCTAGAACAACGTGAGTTATTTCCTCTCTTAGATTGAGCAAGAATAGGATCTTCCAGTTTCAACCTCTTAAGTTCATTCATAGTTAACCTGGAAACCTCAGAAACCAGCGAAGGACGAGAATAAAGAGTGTCGGAAATATCCTCTAACATTAACTTAGTCGAACTAAGCGAAACGATTTTCGATTCACCTCCTTGTTCAGAAACCAAGATTTTTCCACTACTTGTTATTGCTTCTTTAGCCGAAGAAGAACAATAACAAGGTCTAAATTCGGAGTCTAATAACATGTCGACCGATTTAAAGAGAAAACATAGAAGAAAATCAACTAGGTCAAGGAAACAAAAGACTAGGAAACTTATTGCTTCGTTGATGAACCTTGCAGTCATTGTTAAAATGATTCTACTTTTTCCCATTACACTAGTCATTTGCATATTTGAGAGAAGATATTTAATGATGAACTATGGTGACGGTTTAAAAGCGTTGTTAAAATAAATAGAAGAATGTGAGAAGAAAGTGCTGCTGAAAATTGCGAAATGAAAATGAAACATAAAATGAGGATGTTTGGGAAAAACTGTGTTTAAGGATAAAAGAGTGGTAGTAGGGTAGTGGTAATGGTGGTGGTGGTGATGAAAGCGTGTGGTGTTGGGTTTCTTAAATTGAAAGTTTAACACAAAAAAAGAGAGCAAGAGGGAAGAAAGAGAGAGGACATAGTTAAATGGAAGTTATTGATTGTTTCATTTAACAGCATTTGTTGGCCAAGAAGAAATGAAAGTAGTTGGTGGTTGAACCTCTAAAGAAAGAAATGAAGATTATTTATTTGTTATTGAAAGTGTAAACAAATGATATCATATATATATATATATAAGAAAAAAATTTAGTAGTACCATTTTCTTAATTCTATGAAGCAAGTCACATTCTTGCCCATACGAAATTATCGCCACTATTTTCCATCTTTCTTCATCTGTCTTAGTTTACAGCTCATCACATTCACCCTGCCACATTAATTAATGTGTGTGCAACATTTTTTTAGAAAGAAATATGAATAAACTTATTTATTATGAAAAATTATAAAAGAAAAATGTTTGTTACGGATTCGACTTATCAAACATGTCTGTGTTGTCATCAAAATTTTAGCTCGTACTCTTCAATTATCCGTCCCATTTTGTCTTTTTCTTTTTTTTGTAAATTTTTGCAGATGCAAATATTAATATAAAATTTTGCAATTTTTAAATAAAAGATGTGCAATGCATGCGGATCCGTCTTTATTTTTTTGTGCGAATCAAAGTTTTAAGTCAACATGTTAAACTATATCGGTCTCACATCATTTTATTTTTTCCAGACTTTTCCACAGCAAGCACAAAGAGGTAGAGATATTTATTTGTCACTCTTAAGTTTAAACGTAGCAAATCAAATAGATTTTATTTTGTGATATTTTGAACGGGTCAAAGTGTGGATCATATGCAATAGTGTGCATGGATGCATTCAAAGACGGCCTATCGCGAATCAACAATTCCGTTTAACAAGAACAAAAACACATCGGTTAATCTAGGGGTGTTCAAATTCAAATCAATCCAAATAAAAAATTGAAAACGGATCCAAAAAACTAAAAACCGTAAAAAACTGAAATTTATTGGATGTGTTTGGATGTTATTTTGTGAAAACCGATCGATTCGAATTAGATTTCGGATTAGTTTTTCAAAACGGATCCAAACCAAATCGAACCGCATACATATATTTTTATATTTATTTACTTTTTATCAGTATGATATATTACGTGAATTTATTATTAGATGATAATAACTTTTTTAATAATAGTTATTAGTTTGGTATAATCTATTTATTTTTATTATTTCAATCATAATCGACCACTCTTATTTTGTAATATTAACTTTTAATATACTATATGTTATATATTATATCAAATCTATGATTTATTAGTATTTTTATAATATTAATAAAAATATAATGTGTAATTTGGATATCCAAAACCCGATCCAAATTAAACCGTATAAAATTGGATCAGATTTGATTGAATTTTTTTAATATATCATTCAAAACCGAACTGAACCGCAAGTAAATTTATCTTTGGATCGGATGAGTTTTTGTCTTAAAACCGATCCAAACCGAACCGCGAATACCACTAAGTTAAACTATAATGTAGTAAATATATGGCATAATTATTGCAAAAGTTTTTTAAGTTGTTTTATTGTAACATGTTGATTTTTTTTAAAAAAAAATTGTAACAATTTGATCATTTAAAAAATATTATTAAATTAGAATCTGATTTTATATTTTTTAGATGTTGTAGATTGAAAAAAAAATAATTATGCATGCATTTGTTAATTTAAAAGATGGAATTGTTAAAGAAAAAGTAATTAATCAAGTTATTACAATAAAATAAATAAAATAATAGTTGGTATAATTATGCCATATATTTGATAACTTTTAATATGTGTAAATAGGTTAATTAATTATGTGATTTATTTTGAAAAAGAGTTATGAAACATTCTTATTTGAGCTAACTAGTAATTAGACCTTGTTGAATTGAATGCAAACCGTATCTGCCACATGAGCTCCATGCCTAGTATAGGCACCACACACCAATTTACCACCGTTTTCCATCGTGGTTTATCAATGACAATGTTTTCAAGACTCTGTCCGACTTTGTTGCGGGACATTAATGTACCCAAGAATAATCATATGTCCCACATAACTACATTTTTTTCCCTTTCTTTTGTTTACGTCGAATGTAAAGTTCAAAAATACAATGGAATTCTAGTATTATATCTTGATAATGAAGAGTTATTGTAACTCATTCTTGTCAACAAATTCAATACATCTATACAAATGAAATAGTCTCTTAGAACGAAATTAAATTTATATGTGTTTTTTAAATTTATATATTTTTTAAATTATTAATTTATAAATATTAATAATTTATTTAAATCAATATATAAATATAAATAAATATTACGATCAATTTTAAATTTAATTTAACCTATTTGAATAAATAAATTTTAGCGCAAGAAAAAATCTATTAATACCAAGTCAACCACATGCCCAAGTCCGATCCAATAAAAGTTGGCTTAGACAACCTGCACTTGGTATTAATTATTGATATCACTCTCTCATTTTGTAAAATTTATTTATATAATACTCGTGACATACATTAAGGAGACTATCTCTACTATATAAATACTTAAAAGATATGAATGTTGTCTTATACGAGACTCAATGAGTTTTTTCAATTTACTGTCCACATTTATAGTTTAACACATATTTTGATAAATATTTCAATAATTCCACACTTGAATTTAAAAGGGAATTTCAAAAGTAGGGCTAAGAGCATCTATAAAATAGTACAATTTTATTTTTGGTTCTAGAACAGAACAATACCCTCGTTTGTGGGAATTGATTCAAATTTCTACAATTTTCATGATTTCATATTCATTATTCGATTCACTAGTTCGTAACCTCTTCAGGTTATCGAATCAAGAGCATTCAAAATTGAACACGAATATTTATCGTGTTCTATCCAATCAAGTATAATTTCAACTTCAATTCTTCGAATATTTAGATCTCTAGTTCCTGCAGTTCCAAGTGATGACTCAATCCAAAACGACTTGAGTTGCCGGTTGTTGTACCCCAAATTTTGACCTAAGATACCATCTCTCATCTGCATCATTACATTGCAAGTTGTTTTTGACCTATTTTATCAATTTTCAAAGCAGTTTTTAAATTCATAACTTTTTCAAATCGAGAGCTGGTTATTTTTGAAACGCCCAGTTCATTAACTGATCAATGCTTAAAATGATGTTTATTTAGTTATTTATTATTCTGAGTTTAAATAATTGGAATTCATTTTCAGTTATTATATAATTTAAAGAATTATAAATAATCAAGTAAATATTTGAAAAGAGGTTTATTAATTGATCAATGATATTTATTTAATTATTTATTATTCAGAGTTTAAATAATTGGAATTTATTTTCAGTTATTATATAATTTAAAGAATTATAAATAATAAAGTAAATATTTGAAAAGAGGTTTATTAATTGATCAATGATATTTATTTAATTATTTATTATTCCGAGTTTAAATAATTGGAATTTATTTTCAGTTATTATATAATTTAAAGAATTATAAATAATAAAGTAAATATTTGAAAAGAGGTTTATTAATTGATCAATGATGTTTATTTAATTATTTATTATTCTGAATTTAAATAATTGGAATTCATTTTCAGTTGTTATAATTTAAAGAATTATAAATGATAAAGTAAATAATTGGAAAGAAGAAAAGAATTAATTGGTAAAATAATAGAGTTTTATTCATCTTTATTCTAATTGTTACAATTGTTGTTTAAATACTGTATTTATTTACAAAGTATTTACAATGATAATTTTTACAAATGTTTAAAGTGAAATAAAAACTATCCTAATTTTTCTAAGTTCTAAATCTTCATCTTCTATCCAATACTTCTTTGATGCTCATTTGATTTTACCTGCAAAGAGTTCATCATTAAAAGCAAACGGCTGGAATCAGTTTTTACCCTCATTGCAAATCACGGGATTTCTCCCGGTTCACAAAAAGGGATGAATATTTATTGATAAATATGAATGCACAAGTTAAAAATATGCACAAATTCAATTTTGTCAAAACTGCATATTTCAAAACCAATTGCACAAATTCAATTTTTGTCAAAACTGCATATGTCAAAACAAATTGCACATTTCAATAGTCAAAGTTACATTTTCAAAACAAAATTCCAACGTAAACTATCCAACATATGGGAGGAGGTCCAAACACAAGGCTCCATACTGTAACAATGCAGATGGCAAAGAGGAAGTGTGCAGATCAAAACCACATATGCAAGCAAATATTTTCTAATTTCATCATTTTCCAGCTTTGCTTTTTCAGAACACAAAGTACATAACATCATTTTTAATGTTTCAAACTGTACTAAGGAGAGAGAAGAGAGAAAAGAGTGTGGGTTTACAGGTTTTGGCCTTAGGCAGAAAAGGGATATAAAACAAAACTGCACTAACACAGTAAAAAAAGGGAAGCATAGAAAAAGGATACAAAACAAACTGAATGGAACAGTGGAAGTGCAGAGGTATCAAAGAAAAAATAGTTAAAATATACAAAACCTGAACTGTCAAAAGAGAGGCCAGCAACTGATATAAAACAACACAACTTATACCAAGCAAGGCCTAAGTGGAGAAACCTGTTTTGAAGCCTTAAACCACAAAACCTGTCAAGCTTTGTCAAAAAAAAAAACAACTAGCAATCAAACTCAAGCCAGTAAACCCGACCTGAGACATGCCTGAAACCTCACCATTCAAAGCTGGAAGCTAACAACCAAACCTTTCAATCAAAACCAGTTAACCTGCATAAGCCTCACAAAAACCAGTAAAACCTTAAGCCTTTC